ATCAAAAATCATTGTATTTTGATTTTAAGTAGGTGAATTGTTATATATGTAAATTGCACCTCAATAAAGTGGTTTTTAAAAGAGAGAGGAAACTGAGATGGAAAAATGCACAAAATAAAGAATGATGTAAAAAAGTTAAAAATGAAAAATTAAATAAGTAAAAGATAGAGAGGAAATGAGAAGACTTGTCTGAGGGCCAAGGCAGATGCAGCAACAGCGAGTCCTTGAGCAAACAAGTTGGGTGAGGGGAGATGGAAAGCCTTCGGTTAGCTTCACTACCTAGATAACTCACCCCACTGAACCTCTGGCCCAGCCACATAATGGACCAGCTTAGATGCAGAAAATGTAGGTGGAAGCTCATAAGTCTTGTCTCTTGGCAAAGGTTACTGTTAAGTCTAAAGGTCAGAAAACCAAAGAAGCTACAATTAGCCTTCCAGCAGCCCCTCTTCAGGAAACTCCTGTTCCCACATGAGTCTATTTTCACCAGAAGGCAGAGGGGAGGGGCTGCCCCATCCCTCAGCACTGTGCAGGGGAAGCACAGGGCCCACTGCCCCCTCCACTCTCCAGTCATGGCCACTGTCCCCCAGCCCCCTCACTAAATAAACTAGTTTGTAATCGCTTTGACCTGTCTCTTTTCCTTCTATTCCCAGTTAACTCTGACTCAGATAATAATTTCCTCACTAGTTACTCTGTCTCTAGCTCCCCTCCCACCTCCATCACAGTAAGCACTCCGCATCACTCTCCTCAAAAAACATAAGTTTCTGCCAACCTCCCCCACCTAAGTACCCCTCCTAAATAAGCAGTCACTCTAGGTAAAAAAAAAAATAAGTGTCACCAATAGTGAAGACAATTTTAATAATCCTATTTAGAGTGAAACCATTTTAAAAGAAACAAAAGTGGTTATGCATGTCAGTCTCATTCTATAGGGTCTGGCCTTTGCTTATAGAGGAAATATTACAACAGGACATGATATTGAATGTGTTTGTTCATTTTCTCTCCCTAATGTGCTTTGGACTACAGCATCATTCTCATACTCCTCCCCAATTCAAACCAGAGTTACTCAGAATTACTTACATGTCACAGTGGGCAGCTGTCAGCACGCAGTGCTCATCCATCAAAATACCTGCACAGATTTTTAGATCCCCTCCAGTTCCACCCATATTTTCACACAAGGCAAGGGTCGATTTTTTTCTTTATCATCAAACTGAACATTTTAGAATTTCTTCTCATATACTATGTTCTATGGCAACAGATGCCCCCCACCACTACCACCTGCTAGAATTACTATCCTCTCCTCAGCAGTCCAGCCAGGCAGAGCCATGTGGGGTCTGGTATGTGGTTGTACTACATTTCCTCCAACAATTCCCTTGCTGGAATCTGGAAAAACTAAGAGTGATCCAGAGTGAAATCCTGTCTTATCTAGTCACATTGCACGCTGAGAAAGTTGAACAGCTTCAGCGAGCAGGCAGACACGCAGTAGCAGGATGGGGAGGCCTCAAGAGCAAATCATGTGAATTTTCAAATACCTTGAGAGAAGTCATTCTCACTGTGATGGACCAGAAAATATGCGATAGTGAACAGTGATTTTAAGCCAGTTATTGACAAAAGCATGCTCTGTGCTGGTGGAAAAAAAGGTGAAAATGATTCATACGGAGTAAGTAAATTAAAGATTTTAAGCACTGTTTAGCTATAAGATATAAAGTTAAACAGAAGGAAGAACTAGGTGGCCAACAGCTATTACTTCTTGTGTCCAGTCTGCTGTTTATAGTGGCATGGTGTTGACACCTTTTCCCCAGGCGAAACCTGCTCAGGAACAGTCTCTTATGACCAGTGATCATTTTCAGGTACCATTTCACTACCAACCCTCTCAAAAGTGAACATGATGGCTGGCATTATCAGAGACCAGGAGTGATGTCAAGTTGCATATGAGTTGCATATCTTCTCCAGAATTGGCTTTTTAGAAAGGAAAAATGGTTTAAATATAACCTTTGTTAACTGATTCTGAAGCTGGACAACAAAAGAGATACTACATGAAAACTATATGATGTTATAAAGCAATGTTACTTCAATAAAAAATAAGATATTAAAATTAGCCGTTAAGTAAGAAAAGTGTGTGACTGAATGATGTATAATGAATAAGTAAAATGGTGAGTAGAAGTTTTGGCAAGCATACATTTTAAAACATATATCTTCTATGATTGTTCTATGGGGTATACTAGAAGTCCTCTGATATGTAACAACATTTTCAAAGGTGCCACTTCCTTTAGGGAGTGTGGAAACTTCAAGAAAACTGTTACCTACACTCTCCTTACAAAAGGATACCTCAAGTAAATCAAGGAATCCATTGCAGGAGCTGTATGACATTCCCTCAAAGCAGCAAACTGAGGTAACCACCTGAGATCTCTAGCAATTTGACCTTTCAGAAGAAGCCCCTCATACCCCTCTTAACCTTGTGCATAAGACAGCCTTTCTAAAACAAAATCAGCAAAGAAAGAAATGGCTTCCTGCTAAGACTGCATCCTGGCTTTCTCCGTGCGTGCCAGGAAGGAAGGTCCCTTGGAAAAAGGTCCCTGCTCAGTGACTCTTGGCTTTCCTCAGTTTGTACAATCACACTTCTGAGTTTCTCCTTGAAAATAAGCCAGTCCCAGGAAAATTTAGAATATCCTCTACTCTTCAAAATGAAGCTCAAATTATCCATGAGCCTTGAAACTGAGAGCCTAATCTTTCACTCAGAGTGGGAGTAAGGAGAGCGATGGGGTGGAGCAGGAGTTTCCTTCTTGCTATGTACTGCTGCTTTCATTTTTTTTTTTTAATGTTTGATTATAGCAAGGAAGAAGATTCAATGTGTGTTTAAGAAATTTGGAGATTTTAGAATTTGAGATTAAGGATAATTCAGATAGATACTGCTAATTATGCAAGCTATATATTCCAATCAGAGCTGTGTTTTGATATTTGTTATTGTTGTTCTTGCTAAAAACTTTACCTTCTGTCTCTTCTAACTGAGCTAAAACTAGTATCAAGTAAGAGCACCACTATTTTATCTAACAAAAACATCTATCTAGTAGATTGATGTTTCATGTTTCATGATTGATGTTTCATGTTTCCAGCCAGTATTTTGTTATGTATTTTGCTTTCCCTAGTCATAAGATAAATGTAAGCACAAAGTTTAATTCTTTTTTTTTAATAAATTGTGATATATAAAGGAGAGGGAAGTGACCTTTTTATCACCTACCATTTAAAGCTTATCTTTTTGATGTACTAGTTCTCAAATAGCTGATTTATAATGAACAAATTCTCAAATAACCTGACTTGTTTATCCAATTTAATTCCTCAAACATTTCTTGAAGGCCTACAATGTGCCAGGCATTATGTTTGGCACAAGTGTCATTACTATACTCATGAGTGTTAATCACAAATGATCACCACCTTCAATGTACCTAGAGTCTAGTAGAAGACAAGTAAAAATTTATGAGTGAATGGAAATATACTTTGGGTTCTGAAGGATAGATAACAAAGCAGTTTTGTCTCCTGTGTTAAGGTTACAGGAAGAAAAATAATATTTTACATATCTTCAACAGCCATCACATGTAGCTTCAAGAGTCTTCCTCCTGAGATCTGTCCTCCATTTAGACAAACTCTGAATCCTTGATGGAATTCCTCAGACAACATCATAACATGGTAAAAATCACTTGTCTATAGGTCAGAGCCCAGCTCCATGATTAAAGTGTAAGACACTGATCAAGGAATATGTCTGAAAATTAGTCCATTTTTACATCTATAAGCAAGAAATGGTTACACAAAATGGTCTTAAAGCAGGTGCCCCTAGAATTTGAAATTAAGAGTTGTCATCCTCTGAGTTCACACCCCCTAGAATGCCTATGGAAATGATAACAGTTAATTAATGATGATGATGTCCAGTTTGTGGATATACTAAAAACTATTGTTTACACTTTAAATGAGTGAACCTTATACTGTATAACATCTACCTCGTAAAGATGTTTAAAAATCAGCATAGAAGTATAACAACTACATTCACAAAAAGAAACAGAATTGTCAGTGTTTCCTTTAAGCAATTTTCAGTAACTATAGTCAATCAAAATTTTATTTTTTAAGTCTATACTAAAATTACTCAACAAAACCAGAAGCACGGTAACCCACTGATTATACTGAAAATGATTAACCTTTGATGAATTAGTAATATCTGGATAAAGGAAGCACAGAGTCTCAGTAGAGTTCCCTTCAAGGGCATGTAACTTCTGAAAAAGTAACCACTGGGTCTAATGTCATCAGGGTGTTACATATGGGAAAGGTTTTTTCACATTTAACATCCTGAGAACAAGACTGAGCAAGGCTTTCTATGTTCCTCCACTTGCCCTTGAATAGAACTAAGAAGAAATCTGGCTTGTGACCAGTTACTACACTATGTTTTAAAGCTCTAATTTAAGCTTTATGTTAAGTTTAAGTTTAATATGATATGGATGATACTATTGCTGATGATGGAAATTCACATTCCTAAATTATCAAGCTGAGACATTTTTTAAGTTGCATCTTTATTATAGAGGTAATATTCATATACAACACTCCATATGATTTAGGGGTATAGATTCACACCTCCCCAGATGTATCTTTCCACCTCACACCCACCACCAAGACACCCATAGCCCTCTGCCATAGCCCATTATGCTCCCTCCACTCTTTGCTCCCCACTCTCCTCTTCCCTTTCTGACTTACTTCACTAACCACTGTCCCCTCCTGTTCCATCCATGTTATCACTAAGTTGAACCACGTTAGAGTTTCTTCTCATGTATTATGTATCAATGGCAACAAGTCCCCCCACTGAGCATGAGCAGTAGTAATTGTTCTCACTGTGTTTCATCAACCTCAACTTTTAAGTTAGAGAGGAAAAATAAGGAAACCACATCCTTTACACTCTCAGTATATAGTCAGTCACTCAAGAACTAAAAACAGATTTCCACCTTGATGTGGGGACACCAGCCACGATGAGGAACTCCTGTACTTTTCCGGCATTTTCTTTCTGGGCTGCCATCTTTCTCCTGCTAATTCCTGAAGGTAAGACTGAGACTAACCATTTCTAGTATAACCACTGAGCAGAGCAGACTTTCAATGGCCTTTTGGCATTGTTAGCTAAGTGTACCAAGAGGAGATTTCTTCCCCCAAGTCTGGGGGGTGGAAATGAGGTGTATGGAAAGTTCTCTTGGTGTACCTAGTTCTCATCCTTTTATTTCTGGAGTTTAGAATTTCTCCTTCTTAAGCTCCCAGTGAAAATTAGAGCCTCAGTGGCCACTGCCCTCCCCTTTCTCTCAGCCTCAGCAGTTTTATGAAAGGCCTCTGTATCATTTACACCTTCTTAAGAATTTGTGAGCTGACTTTAATAACAGAGTAAGGAACTGAGTCTCAGGAGACCATGCATCTCAGGACCATGAGTCTCAGAAGAAATATTTTAGGAGGATCCAAGAACATACATCTGATACAAATTCCTACAATGACCACCAAAGAACTCATGGGTAGGATCACAGCTAACAGGAGTAGTAACAGTGTTTAAACTGGGCTTTTACTATGGAAGCACTTGGGGTGAAAACACACTCGGGCATCTAAAAGTGCTTCTGCTTCCCCATATTAATATGCAACTATAAATGAGTGGGAAGTTACCCACAGGTGACATCATCACAAGCAACACCTGTAGCATCGTTTCTGGTGTAGAACAAAGCAGTGTCTGCCCTGTGCAAGTCTCCTGGGCAGTCACTGGTTTCCAGCCTGATAATCCCTGGGGTTGCCAATTCACAGCATGTGTGAGCAGAAGAGCACAGCCTTCTGGGACAGCACGACAGCGGTGGGGTTTACATTCAGATAACTAATCTTGGGGCTTGGGGCTTGGGGAAGAGAGAAGTGTTCTGTTTACTGCTTCCTTTCCAATCTGGAAAAACAGGTCTGGCCTTGAAAACATGGTTTTAATGGAGTTCTTGGGGGCAGGCACAGATAACATTTACTTTTTTCTTTTTAACAGATTTCTGTGAAAAGATCATTGGCGGACATGATGTGGAACCTCACTCAAGACCCTACATGGTTCTACTTAATTCAAAAAAAAAACTTTGTGCCGGGGTTTTGATTAGGGACGACTGGGTCTTGACTGCAGCTCACTGTGACATGTAAGTGTTGAATTCAAAAACATCTTTTGGAGACATTCCAATTTGGGAGAATAGTAACAAAATGTAAACCCGTGTAAAGTCACAGCAGCCTCAGGTGTATCTTCACATGGATGAAACCTTTGGGAACTTGCTTTACCCCAGCAGAGGAAACATGGTCTTGGCCCCAATGAATCAGACCATTGAGGACCCACAATGAGCACCCACCAGTTCCTCCTGTGTCTTCTAGAGCAACGTGGTCTAGCTAAAAGGTTTTGTTACTGCTCCTGAATCTTGACTGGGAAGAATTGGCCACAGAGGCAGAAAACTTGTCATGTCCCTCAAGTGCTTGAGCCCAAAAATCAGGTAGCAAAACTTGATTCAAATGCCTTCCTGTTTCCTTGAGTGAACTCCTCTCACACTTCCAGCCTTCTCTTCTCCCCCATCAACCACAACCTTCACACTCCTTCCAAACCTGGTCTTTTCTCCACTCCCAAAATCAAGGCTCCAGACTTGGACTGTCCAACATGACAGCCTTTGTACACTAGCTATGTCAAAACACACATTACTACATAAACTTAAATTAGAATTAAATAAAATTGCCAATTTAGTTCCCAGTTATAGTTGTCATACTAGCTATGTGTCTAGTGTATTCCAGATTAGACAATGTGGATTTTTGGAACATTTTATCATGAAAATGTGCTCTGCTACCGGCACTGTTCTACTGCCTTAAGTGAACTAACATCCACTGGTGTTAAGGAAAAATAGAGGCATGAATAGCTGGTTTATGTGGTTTATATAAGATTGTGAATGGCTAAGACTTAATCATTTACACATCATAGAGTATCTTGATTTTGTTAACTAAAATGAATCTCTAGCATGTAATAGAAAAGGAAAGCACCCTGTATCCTTCTTCGAGCTGCCATTCCCCCAACATAGACACTCAATGCCATGAAATTTGGGGAATCTATTTCGAAAGGTTTTTCTCCTTAAGTCAAGCTTATTATGTTTTCATAAAGAGCCCTTCAGTACTTTACATCTATCAAGTGCCTTTTGCTTCTGTCAGTAGCCCATAGTAATATTTGTTTTCCTGTAATGCACAACAGGAAGGTTAGGTAGACAGCCATGACATTAACAGAGATCACAATACTTGGCTTAGGTGTCTTGGAATTCTCTTATTTGTTTTTCAATGAATCCAGTTTAGCTTATCATAAATAAGAGGTGATAATGATGACCATAAAGGTGATGATGATGATAAATAAACATATTACTTTTTGTTCTCTAAAGTACTTCCATAATAGCTGCATTTACATATGGGACAGTGAAACTAATCTGTACATAACATGCTCAGCTCCTGTTCATAACAGTAAATCCAGTTAATAGTGTGACTGTTTTCAGGAACACGAAGTCTCAGATCATTCTTGGGGCTCACTCAAAAACCAAGAATGAGCCAGAGAAGCAGATAATGACCCTCAAGCAACAGTTTCCTTATCCATGCTATGATCCAGAAACACATGAGAATGATCTTAAACTTATACAGGTGCGTACCTTTGACTGTCATCTTCAAATCCATAGAACCTGATACAATCTGACATTGAAATTTTTCCTCAGTTGCCCTGTCATACAGATTGTAGTTGGGGAAAGGGGGGAGGATGCTGAGGGTTGAACTAGAATTTAAGCAAATATATGAATATTTTGTTCTTTCACTCAGATAACTCTTCATTCTTATCTTCCAACAGCTGAGCAAAAAAGCAACACTTAATAAAAACGTGGCTATCCTTCCTTTACCTAAAAAGGGGGGTGATGTGAAACCACAAACCAATTGTCGTGTTGCAGGGTGGGGGAAGGTTGGCAATAAAAATTCTTCATCAGACACTCTGAAAGAAGTCGAAGTCACTATCATTGACAGAAAAACCTGCAATGATCGCTATAATTATAACCCTGTGATTGGACTGGCTATGATTTGTGCCGGGAACTCCAGCGGTGGAAAGGACTCATGTGAAGTAAGTAAAATAACACCACATGTTTTAGCTGTTGGATTACATCATACAGACATAGGAAATGTAATATCACACTTTACCTTGTCAGGGTATATCTTCTATAGAGTTCTAGTGCTTTATGGAAACAGTTTGATCAAAATCCAGTCAAATAAATTCATAGTCTCAGCTCTAGTGAGTTCATTAAAAATAACAAGTTTAACTTTTGTCACTTTTATTCTTTGTTTTATGTTAAAGACTACTTAGAAGTAATTTTTCTCATTTTCTCATATTAACATATGGAGATCAAAACTTACAAATATATAGCGCTTAGAAGAGCTGAAGTCAGGTTTCCGCTAAGGCCTTCAGTCCCCTTTTCCCATCTCAATCCTGCTGCCGTGTGACAGGACAACTGCTTGTCACTACCAGGTACGGGGCTAAACCCCATTACTTCGTAGAGCCAACTCAACCCTAGCAGACAACTTTCAAGCCTGGCTATTCCAGAGAGCCTGAACACCCTCACACCAGAGACCCCTGAGAGGGAGGGCAGGACCCTACCTTAAGATGAGAGTAGAAGAGACACTCCTCATTTCCAAGCTCTGAGTACTGGCTTTGGTCCTTTGTCAAAAACACGTTAGAGTCTTCTCTAAAAAACATACAGTGTGTCCATCTTCGGGATCATTAGAAATAGGAGGACCAGAGGTCACTGCTTTCACCAGGAGCTTGACTCTAAACTTCAGCAGAATTTTTTGTTTTTTAATTTTAATTTTTTTTATTACAAAAGTTTATTTTTACATCATTTTGTACATTTTTTTTTCCATCTCAATTGTAATACCCACGGGTTTCCCATCACCAAATCACCCCTGTGCCACCACCATAATCCCGTGCATTTCCCTCCCCCACCCCGTTTTGATCCCATTCCCCACTCCACCCCCACAAAATGTCTCTGGTATGTGGTTGTTCATTATTTTTGTTATTTTCTACCTGTTCCATTATACTCCTGCTATGAGTGAAACCATCCGGTATTTTTCTTTCTCTTTCTGGCTTATCTCACTAAGCATGATCTTTTCCAGCTCCATCCAAGTTGCTGCAAAAGACATGTGTTTCTCTTTTTTGGTTGCTGAGTAATTTTCCATTGTGTATATGTACCACATCTTTCTAATCCAGTCATCTACTTTTGGGCATTTGGGCTGCTTCCATGTTTTTCCAATTGTAAATAAAGCAGCAATAAACATGGGGGTACAGGTATCTTTTTCAATCAGTGTTTTTGTGTCTTTTGGGTAGATACGTAGGAGTGGGATTGCTGGGTCGTAGGGAAGCTCCATGTTTAGCAGTTTGAGGAACCTCCAAACAGTTTTCCATAATGGTTGTACTAGTTTGCATTCCCACCAGCAGCGCAGGAGAGCTCCTTTTTCTCCACATCCTCGCCAACATTTGTTGTTGCTAGTTGTTTGAAGATGTGCCATTCTCACTGGGGTGAGGTGGTATCTCATTGTGATTTTAATTTGCATCTCCCTTATTAGGAGTGATGTTGAACATTTTTTCATATGCCAGTTGGCGATCTGCATTTCCTCTTTGGAGAAGTGTCTTTTTAGCTCTACTGCCCATTTTTTGATGGGTTGTTTACTTGATTTTTGTTGAGTTTCATCAGTTCTCCGTATATTTTTGTGATCAGTCCTTTATCGCCACTTTTGTGTGAGAAAATGTTTTCCCAATTAGTGATCTTTCTGTTTGTTTTTTTTTTAGTGATCTGTTTGTTTTTCTTTTGCTGTACAGAAGCTCTTTAACTTGATGTAGTCCCATCTATTTATCTTTGCCTTCACTAGTGTGGTGTTGGGTGCTCTGTCTTTGAAGATGTGCTGAAGTGTATGTCGTGTAGTGTTTGACCCATCTTTGCTTCTAAGTATTTTATGGTTTCTGTTCTTATGTCTAGGTCTTTAATCCACTTCGAGTTGATTTTTGTGACACTTCAGCAGAATTTTAATGACTCTTTTCAGTAGGAAGGACAGACAAATCCAGGAAAAGATGGCATTTGTCTATACTGTTCCATTTTTTTCTCTTTTGCCTTGCCTCATCTTTTTCCTCTCCTCAACCACTACTCTGAGTGATGGGGTTCAGAGGATGGGTAGGTGAATGAGGTTCTTGGATTACCTCTGAGAAAATTTCAGCAGAATTTCCCCCTCAGCAGCACACAGCCAGATTTACTAAGGGCAAAGCCATGGACACCTCTTTGTGTTTTCAACGGCTGTATTTTAAAAGGATAAGCTCATAAGGAAAAAAGAGAATGGGGAGAAAAGAGGTGCCTGCATAGACACAGGTGGGTAAAGAGCTGCATTTGAAAGGGGAAGTTTTGTTAAAGAGATGCCAGCATAGGCACAGGTGGGCAGTCTTAGGACAAGACTTGCATTTTGCAAAGACAAGAGTTCTCACATAGTGTTCTTTGGGAAGGGACAGGTGGAAGATGGGGTGAATTTGTTCATTTGTAGAATTTCAGCTATCACTTGTAATGAAGCCAGGCTGTGTTAATCTGAAAGAACTGTTGTTTCTCTGTAATAACTAACAAGTTTCTTTGTAATAACAAGTCTCCATATCCGTGCCTCTGCTTTGTGTCTTTAGATTTCCATAGCCAATTTAGCAACACTTTAATCATCTCTACCCCCACCTCTTGTTTGTTCCTTGTGAAGCTTCCATCACAAATTTTCTACTCTTCCATCATGAGCATCCAAGGGCCCCGACACTTGGGCCTTTGCAGCCCAAACGCAACATCCCAAGGCCTCCACAACAGGCCAAGAAGTTAACTGAAGCCGCTCTGCTGTGAAGTCAGATCTGATGTGTAGATCTGGGTGTTTCTTTCTAGCATTAGCTGCCCAAAGGAGACTTGGGGAGCAGGTGCCATGTATTAGAGATGGTGAAGGCAAAGTTTTTATTGGTTCTGGGTCTTTGGGCAGATAGCTATATGCTGGAGTTGCTTCAAAATATGGTTTTTACTCTTTGCCATCTGCATTTGACCATTTTACCCTTTGAGTTACTAAGTACCCTTTGAGAAACACCAAAACAGGAAGGTTTTCTTTCTGAAATAGAGGATCGACCTCAAAATCAATTTATAAGTTAAATAATACATAATTTCAATTTTCACTGGTTTAATAATGAATCAAGTAAATCAATGTTTAAATATTCCCAAACATTTTAGTTTTTTTAGCAGTAACTTATAATTAGTCAATGTGTCCACTAATTTTCAACTAAGTTGTAACTCCACATTTAGTGAAATTTCTGCCATTCTGCTAATATCCATGCTCCATGCTAATTCCCCATCACTCCTCTTGTCCTCCAGGGAGACTCCGGCAGTCCTTTGATATGTAACAAGATTCTCAGAGGCATCACTTCCTTTGGCCGCCCAGGGAAATGTGGAGATCCTCGCTCACCTGGCGTCTATGCTCTTCTTGCAAAGAAGCACCTCATCTGGATAAAAAAAACTATGCATGGAGCAGTTTAGATATTGCATTTCATTTTATTTACTGTCATTTACTTTGTGATCATATACATAAAATCAGTTTGTATGACTGTGCCTGTTTCTTTGCTCTCACTGTAGTGGGCAGGTCTCACCTGTAAGGTGGGGTAGGGCCATACAGTCACCTAGAGAATAATGCAAGGGAGAGACTAAGGAGTAATGTCATGGTGTCATTCAAGAGTTATGTGACTTGCAGTGTTGTTTATGACCATGAATCCCAGCATGGTGACACTGAAGTCAGGTCTGTCTAGTAACAAGCATAGTAAGATCCCAGCAATTCTGCAGGAAACACAAACAGCCAGGTGAGCTTTGGGTTAAAGGAGTTAAAGGAGGTTTGTGTTAAATGAGTTTGCCCCCAAAGGCCATTATTCCATATCAACACCTGCTATTCATATTTACATGCAAGAACCTGAGCCTATGTGAGAAGTGGAAACAGGAAGTGCCTTGCAGCCTTTTCTACAGGCAAGTGAAAAGTGTACATTAACATTTAAGGAGGTATAAAGGATGTATGTAACCAAACAAGAATGATGCAGCAGAATGTCAGCCTCCTTCCACAGTTGTTCCTATTTAAGCCCTGGATTATGTGGGTGATTTCTTGGTTCTCCTTGTCATTGAGCCTGGACAGGTCTGACAGGGAGAGAGTGGCTTTCATGCTATATGTGGAAGTGGGTGTTGAATTGTGACCTGAAAGCTTGTTTTGAAAAAAGCCTTGTGAGGAAGAGGGATGGGCTTACCTTGCCCTATAAGTTCTTCTAGGCTGACAAGTAATTAATTTTAAGATCAGACCAATAGACAAAAAAAAAAATTAATTTAATTTAAAAATAATTTATCTCCTGAATAGGTCGAAAAACACAGCAATAGTTAACTCAGAATTTCCAAATGTATCTACCCATGTATCTACCCATGGCTGTGTAGCAGCCATCCTCTAGACTCAATTCTGTGTGTGTGTGAAATATTATGTAGGGAGAAAACTACTAGATTAAAGGTAAAATTTGGTTCCAGAGAATTCAAAAGTAACTGCATCTCTACTGGTAGAGGGAAATGATTAATACCTTCCCTGTGGTAAGCTAGAAAACAGAACATTGATCGAAGAAGATTTTAGAAGTTCAAATGGAAAACTGGAATAAAATCTGGTGTCAATATTCACAATCTAAGCAATAGTGCTTACACTCATACTCTCTTAGAGGCATTTAGAGAACTTAAAAATCTCATCATCCATTATTTGTACACATGAATTTCATCTAACAGATCACTAAAATTAATAGCACATAATTTTTCATTTATATTTATTTATGTATATTTTACATCACTGTTTATTTTTAAATAATGTTTACATTTTCCTCCCTCAGGTGTAGACCCCATAGAATTTCCTCTCACAATTCATCCTTGCACCATCACCACAGTCCCCTGAATAGCACATAACACTTATGGAGACATGCTCAGACGTAGGGTATCCATAGGGAGAGTCTACCATCATTTTGAACCAAAACAGTCACCATTTACAATCCAGATTGGATGGTCAATGACTTACTTATGATACCTAAAAATACTTGTTAATATTCTTTACCTCACTCTCTAAGAACTCTTTGACTGCTAAGAGAAACCATATTTGTATGACTACATAGTAAATACATCTTTTTTATATATATAAAAAGACTACAGCCTGATTGACACATATCAGCACAGTATTGAGGACACAAGTTGCATTACAGGGTCTAAGCTCCCTCCAGTTCATTTCTCTCACTGATTATAAACTTTAGATTGTGAACAAAATTTTTTTAAAAATAAACACTTGAGAATCCTGGGAAGTAAGCAAAATCTGATCAACTAAGTATGGGAATCAAAACTTGGAGAACATTGAATGTAACTAAACCTAATTGTGGTGATCCTTTACAATGTACTTAATATCCATTTCATTGAACTCCTGAAATCATTATAATGTGATATCAATTATACCTCAGTAAAATTTTTCTTTATAAAATACTTGGACAAGCAACAAGTTTGGGCCTGAGTTTCCCACTTTTTTCTCAGATGGCCTGCCTCTGAGGGTAGAACCCTGTCATGGAGTAACACCAGCAATGATAGTCCTATAGATTGGAAAGATATCCTAAAGAAGGCATCTTCCTGGTTAGAGGAACCAGGAAAAGTTTCAAGAGCAAAGAAAACCAGAGAAAACTATCATCTGTTGTGAATGTATAAACTCTCACACATCCAGCCTGACTCCTAAATCATGCAAGCAGGGCATGAGCTCAAATCAGCTTACTTAGCAAACACTTTGTGAGTTGAACCGAGATTTGAAACATCAATATAATTCCAAACTCTAGACTACAGTCCAAATATAACATCAATTTACTAATATCCTACCTCTGTTAACATCACTAGAATGTTCTCTTCTCTACAACTCTGATAAATCCCACCCTTACCGAGCTGTCTGAAGAGCTCTATGAATGAAGTCTCTGGACAACTCCAAAGATCATTGAGCTCTGATAGTCCTAGAGTCCCTTAGACTCCATAATTTATTATTGAAATTATACATTGGCAAAATGGTGGTTCCCTGTGGCATACTACTGTCTTCCCGACTAAGTTATAGACAAATAGCAAGATAACCTGATGTGATCGGTTTAGTGATCGGATCTAAACACATGTTTAGAATCTGCATGAGAAACAGCCACCATTTGTTATACAGTAAAACAAAATGTATATTCCTCACATCCCACTCTCAACAAAACCTCACATGAAAACTGCACAAGAGAAAAACAACTATAGTAACCATACTTGGGTGGTTCACCATTTGAACAGAAAGCACAAGACATATTGATTTTCCCAGAATCAAATTTCAAATTCTGAGTACAGAAAGCATTTTGTCATTCAGTTTTCAATTCACAATCTAAACAATAATTTATAGTTGTCATTTCAAAGATAAGTGAAATGAATCTTCACCTCTGTTTGGAGTACTGGAGTAGCTTTTATCACTGTACTTTTTAAGATGGAAGGTCTCATCTCTGCCTCATATGCAGCCTGTAAGAAATGAATGGCTTTATACATTGCTATGACACTGAAAACATAATTTGTATCTGCAGGCATTAAGAGAAAATGGAATGAAAAAAAAAGTAGTTGTCATAATAAATCTGAACTATAAGTTGCAGGAGAATGAAAGGGAAAAAAGAAGACATAAGTATTAAACAGATGGCATTTGTAATAAAATGCACCTACGTGTCAGGCCTCAATGTAGATGAGAAATTGTGGAAGTTCATGGAGATAGTACTACATCACGCTTTGAATATTTATGATCACTTGAGATTTTCAAATGAAAGTAATTTTTGCATATCAATATACCTATCAATTCAACAATTAAGATAAATTTAACCCCCACTTAATCTTTTCAATAAATTGTCGATTCATTGATTCTGGCTCTCTCTCTCTACTTCTATACCAGAGTGCAAAGAAGCACTTTTTGCTTGTATTGCCCATGACAAACTGAGGTCAGGGTTATAGGTTGAGTTTGGCTTTAATTCTCATCAAAAGACCCCAATAAGTCTAAACCACAAGCTGCCGTTTTTCAATTCTCCAACCACTCTGCTTATGGGCAACTGAGAAAGACAAATCGACAGGAAGTGAGCCCACCCACAGAACTTGTGGCCTCTGTGACCAGATGGCTCTGAGAAAAGCACCGAGCATCATAGCAAGCCTTCAAGTTGTCACTCAGAGCCTCAGTGTCAGCTCTGAAAACTTGCAGTTGTAGCAGAACTGCAAAGTTACTAGAAATACTCAAACACTGCCAATTAACAAACAGTAATAATTTTTCAAAAATCAATACCTAAAGAATAAAAAATATATATGTAATATGTCATTACAACAAGGTAAGAGCTATCTTATATATACAGCAATAAATAACTGGAATTGAAACTAAAAGCACCATTCCACTTTTCCTAAGTACTTTCCAAAATTACTTAGGCATTAATCTAACAAAATAGCACAAGAGCTATATGGAGAAAACTATAAAACTTGAATCAAAGAAAACCTAAAAAGATGGAGGTCCAAGTGTCAGTATCATCAAGCTCCCATTCTTCCCAACTTGACTGACAGATTCAATCAATTCCAGTTAATAGTGCAGCAAATTATTTTGTTTTGTTTCATTTTTCTCAAAACACATTTATTTTTATATGGAAAATAGTCATCATTTTCTTCCAGGTTATATTATAAACTAAAGGTTCACTAATGCTACTATTGTGCTGGCAGAATATTTTAAAATTCGATCGGTGAGACATTATTGCTAAGACATTTTCTTCAAATATCTACATACATTGAGAAATATGCACAAGATTTGGGATCAAGATTATTTAAATAAATAGCCTTTGTACCATATAAAACACAATGAGCTATTCAGGGAAATGATAGTTTATGCAAAATATTTGTCATATACTGAATTGATTAGGGTTTGTTGTGTTTTTTTTTTTTTGCCAGAACATAAGAATATATTTCTTATCAGAATATAAGAAAACAGCTTTAGATTTTTCTTCTTTATAGAGGTAACATTGGTTTACCACACTGCATATCATTTAAGGGAATAGGCCCACTTCTCCTCAAATGTATGTTACCACACCACACCACACCCACCACCAAGGCGATTCCTCCACCATTGTGCCCCCTTAACCCTTTCTTCCCCACCCGGCCCTCGACATCCAGTCGCCTCAATTATGCATCTTGCTTCTAGGGTTTGGTTTGATTTTGTTTTGTCTGACCGTGTGTTTTGTCGCTCTATATTTCGCATGTAAGTGAAATCATCCAGTATTTATCTTCCTTTTCCTGACTGACTTTACTTAACATGATCCCCTCAAATCCCACCCACATAGTCACACAAAGGGTTGATTTTTGTTTTTTTATTATCAAGCTAAGCATTTTAGAGTTTCTTCTCATGTTATATGTTCTGATGGCAACAGATGCCCCCAACCACCTGCGAGATTAATATCCTCTCCTCAGCAGCCCCAGCCAAGGAGCGCATGCCCACTGCGCATGAGCAGTAGTCACCATTCCCTTGTGTTTCGTTTCCCAAAGCTCGAGCTTAAAATCAGAAAGAGAAAAAAAGAAAAAGGAAACCCCATCCTTTGTACTCTCAGTATATAGTCAGTCAGCCAAGAACTGAAAACAGGTTTTCACCTCCATATGGGGACACCAGCCACTATGAGGAACTCCTGTACTGTTCCAGCATTCTCTCTCTGGGCTGCCATCTTTCTCCTGCTAATTCCT